AACAAACAAACAGACGGATCCTGTTCAAATAGTAGTATAGATTTGCTTAGTTTTGATATGGCCCGAGTTTTGATATGGCCGTGAGGAAAACAGTGGGTTCTAATACCGCCCGGTCGGTATTAGAACTGCCCTACCGGCCGATTACCTACTGACCGGCCCGAATTTATACGGGCCGGCCTTATACGGTCATTATTGATACGGGCCGGGCAGCATTAATACGGGCAGAGTTTTCAAACGGACCGTAACGTTAAGCATGCCAAGTGTTTAGTGTTCTACAAAAAGCAAGACTGTAGAGCTTTTGCGCTGATGTTGATATTTTATCCCTCGCCCGTATTGGTGTTTTTTCCAGCCGCGAACGTACAAGGGGGGGTCCGTTGGCCCCCCCCCCCCTTGCCGTTTCGCCCCTGATCGAGCTAGAGCTCCGCGGAAAAAAAACGAGCGTGTTGCCCGTAACGAGAGGAAGCCGATGATACCCAATTCTAAGGTCCTAGGTCATTGGTTGACCTTGCAGGTCAGGTCAATGACCCCAAAGGCGGGAAAATGGGGACCTGTTAGAACGTCGTAAAGTGTGGCTGCTATGTGGTTTTTCGGGGTGCTGATCACGAATATCATGTTAGTTTTGATCACAGATGATGTCTTCATGTATTTAGGCCAGGTTGGGTCAGGTCAGGTCAGGTCAACCAGTAAGGATATTCGTGGTAGGTGGCAACCGCCTCTGACAGCTTCGTAACATGTTACGAAGGCACCAAAACTACTTCGTAAATGTTCATCATATGGTTGCTAAATTCGAATTCAGCTCCAAAAACTGGCCTAGAAACATGTAAAACTCGAAAAAGTGAACCGAGGTCATCAAAGGTCAATGACCTGACCTGACCTTCAGGTGACCTTGACACCCACCCTAATGCATGGGGGCAACATCATATCACATGTTTGAACGCTTGAAACCACGAAAAGACTGCAAACGCGCGGCTAATGCGAGCAGACATACGCCGAATCGCGATTCCAGCCAAACATGGTCTCGAAAAGTAGGTCACAGGTCAAAGGTCATTTGGGTCAGGGTCATGAAATTTTCAGGGTAGGTGTGAAATTGATTAACGCGAGGGTACTGAAAGTTTCGCCGCGATCGGCCGCTTTTTACGCGAGTTATTCGCGAAAAACCATGGGGGGTCCGTTCGACCCCCCCCCCCCTATACGGGCGAGGGTTATTATACAGAATAACTATATTTTTAAAAACACTTTGGATTATGGGGCTGCGGATTCCGGCGAGGGGGGGGAGGCAGGGCATGTGCAATTGCAGTCGTTGAAAATCCCAAGGTGTGCAAACTGCAAACACTAATGCGGGCTAATAAGGGCTCTCACAGGCGCTTGCTTGTCTCAGCCCGATGCTTGCTCGAGGGCCCCAGCCCGAGCCTCATGGCCCCGCACCGGAACTTTAAGTCCTAAACAGGTACAGTCCACAGCAGAAGTAATGTGTGGCTTCAGTCATGGGTATGTTCTGCTTCTGAAGCCTAGGAACGATTAGCCAGACAGCAACGAGACTTTAAATGTAGCTTACATGTATCTTCACCCTTGCAGCTACAACTTTGTCTATTGACGTCTTCTTTTCAATCAGTCCGCATTTAAAAATCGTCGGTCAAAGCCATCCGTTGAGATTGGTAAAACCACACATTACTTTAGCGGTGGGCTGTACGTGCGGGTGTTATCTTGCAGGTTATCTCAGGGGCCCATGGGCCAGTATCGAAAGGCTCTCGCCGGCTCTGAAGGGCCCCAACCCCCTTAGGTCTCTTGGGGCCGAAGTCTGAGGGCCCCGCACCGGTACCTAAAAGCTCAGTTATCCCAGCTGGCCCCGCCAGTTTCTAAGGGCCCTCACCGGCTCTGGAGTGGTGAGGATGACCCGGATACCATTTACTGAAATGGATAGGTCATCTGAGGTCAAATATGGTAAAAAGTAGTTTTTCCACGATATCATGGTGCTTAAAACTAGTAAATAGTGTGGTAACAAACTGTCATGACATGTCGATCGCTAGGTGCAAAAAGACCTGCTTGGGTCAAGACAAGACCTGACCTTGACGTGGGTCGAATAGCGAAAGTGACCTACCGACTACCGAGGTCTATCAAATACATATTTTGAACCATCTCGACGGAAAAAGGATGGTACAAATTTTATGTCTAACGAGTTCAAAACGATTAAGCTAAAACGGTCGGAGCTTGGGGGCGGGGAAGCTACCCCGCCTGCCCCCCCCCCCATCCCCGTGGCGACGATAATGATTGAAGCCCAGAGGCTTTGCCTGTAACCGTACTAAGTTGAATTATCGGGCTGCAAATGTAGGTACAGGTAATCGGTCGGCTGCCATTAACCCGCGCTGGGGGTGGGGAGGGGGGGGGGGACTCTACAGAGAACTCCCCTCGCTTTTCTGCAACATCTTCTAAACGACTGGGCGTATCCATGCACACGAAACTTGCAGTACCTACTACCTTGAACCTTCGGCTCCATCACTTTGACACCTCGTGTTCCAATGAAAATTTATTCGCTTCTCATAGGTCAACCGGAAATAACGTCAGAGTGACGTCATGTTCGGCCAATTTCGATGCAAAACATTCAGCTGCGGTAATCGCTCCCAAGAGCTTAGTTTCTTAACTAAATCATTTTTCTTAGATGAGAGAACTCAGAATACATACGGATCTGTAGGGTAAGGTGCCTAATTAGCGACCCCCTTAATTTGAACCGTCATTGCTCACGCTCTATGGGTGCCACTGTATCACTGGCTTGATCTTCGAAGAGATCGTACATTTTGCTATTAAAATCCATTCATTTTCTGCACCAATATTCACTAATTTATTTGCACTGAGCATTTTGGCAAACCATTGCAAAAACGTTAATAGGGAACTCGTCCCGATTAGCGACCACGGTGAGGGTTGCTAATAAGTCTATGGGTTTTCCCATAATAAAAATGGCAAAAAAATGCGACGCCTGCAAATTTGCAATATGGTTCCAAACAGGCAACTTATACGCAAAGCACTCAATCATTGGAACAGGAGCGTTTGTCCAACACCTTTATGAAGGTGAAAACTGATCACGTGATGCACCAAAGGCAAAAATAAGGCGAAAACCCATATATCGCGGGCTATCTCGCATGATATTCGAGGCCCGCCCTGGATTCGGCATCGGCACCCCTGCAGTCGGTGACGACAGTTGGTATCACCCGCCACACATGGCAAACTTCAGCAACACCTGATTTTAATTTCTGTCTGTTTCCTTTCTTTCCCTTCTTGAGCTATTTGCGACCGTGTTGGGCGCAAATAGGAAATATGGGTTGCGACGCATTTTTGACTACCATGCAGTGCACATTAACAAGATTCACTACGGGAAAACGGCAATCAATTGGAAAAGGATTGTCGATTTAGAATAAAAAAGGTGCATTATCTTAATGTGCATCGCTTTTTATCAGATAGGGTCCAAATGCACACGTTTTGGATAAGAAACTGGCCATTTTTATCGCAACTCCCCTAAAACGTTCCACCATAAGCACCAACAACCGGAAAAGAATTTAGTTTGATAACCAAAGTATGGCAGACCTTTTGACATTGTTTTTACCCCGATTTATCTTCCCAGCTTTTCTGTAGAGAGGCAGGTCGCAAATAGGAAAGGGTCGCTAATTAGGCACCTTACCCTACAGTGGGGGAAGCCGAGGGAAGCCCGGCATAATAAGCTCTTTTTTATTTTTATGACATGCCTTGCGTGATGTATGAAATGTTGATACCCTGTTAGCTTGATAAGTTAACTGGCCGTGTTGTCCCAAACACGGTTGCCTGGCCGTGTTGTTCATGTTTTTTTTAGATTTCACCTCTGTCGATCGTCCCCCCCCAATCAAAAATCCGTGGCGACGCCCCTGCCTGCAGCCTCAACGAATAACTTCTAGTAAAGTTATCCATCGATCAAACCAAATACCATCGACCTCCTAACCTTTCGGTAATGCCACCAGGCGCCAACAGCTAACAGCTCTGTCCGCAATTCATTGCTTTGTTAAGTGCATCTGTACCGGCCGAGCAACGAGTTGCCACGCGGCGTGCAGACGGCGCCAAGTGCAGCTGCACCTAGCGAGCGAAGAGCTAGCACGCGGCGCGCCGATTTGGCGCGCTTTTGGTTCCCGCGCTTTCCTGCTATTTGGCGGGAGACAGAGTGGCGGCGGCGGCGGGAGCACAGAGCAGCCAACGGCAGTCGGCTCTGGTTGTTAATAAATATAAGCGGGATCCACTGTATAATACCTAGTGGCGTCATATTACCTAGTGGCGTCACATCGTGAAGCTGTGCCGCTAAACACGACGCATTCGCCACCTGTCAAGCGAGCCTAAAACTAATAGTTTATAACAAATATGCCAGGTGGCGCTCTGAGTCACTTGAGTGGATCCATCTTTTCTGTATTGTTTTGGATGATACGATTCTGGATGTTGCATGCTTGGATGTTTCGCTCTTGGATGAACCGTCTTTGGATGATACGATTCTCAGATATTCTCGTGCTGCCATTTTGGATGATACGGTTTTGGATTCTGCATCCTTCGATGTTTCGCTCTTGGATGCTCTGAATGCTCCCAAAAGGGCCGATTTTGGATGTTATTTGGAGGTTTTGATCACTGGATGCTGCGGTTTTGGTTGTTGCGTATTTTGGATGCTGCGCTCTTGGATGCTTTAATAGTCCCCCTTTGATTTGTTAATTGATTCTTTACCTGACGTCATCAAAATTTTATAAAACTTATCGTTTGTTTTCATAGCTTATGGCCAAAACGCTGTTATTTTTGCATTTTTAGCAATTTGTTATCAATTTTTGAGTCCATACATTCTAATATTCTGATCGGATTTGAACTCAATACGAAAAACACTACACGCAATGCCCGAATCAAAGACTCGTTTTCATCACAGTTTTTGTGACGTTTTCGAATAAATTATTCTTTGGCTGATTGGTATTTTTTGATTGTGCGATGGTTCACACTCACAGATTTCACACAACACTTGAATTTGGAATATATAGTAGTCCTGTGTGATTTTATGTCTGTTGCTGAGCTTCTGTAGATTATATATTTATTTAACCAATCATCACGGAACCCTGGTGCATTTCATTTAACCTTAATGAAGCATTCATTCAATATTACCACCCGATAATAGGAAAAGGTTGGTTTATGAATTATGAGTATCAAAGATTTGTTTGATTCTTACATTTTTCAAGGCCATTTGGTGTTATTTCTTGGCCTTCAATTACTGGGTAGATCCACCAGTGCCCTGATTCACTGCCCGGCACTGCAGCATGTTGCGCTGCTGTATTGGTGTTTTGTTTGAGACGAATTCGGCTTGATGCTTCAGCATTGCGAACATCAGGGTTGATTGTATTAATGTTACAATGGAACCTCAATGCACCGCTGCACTCAGTTCGCTGTGGTGAAACAGTGCCCAGAATGTTTATCTTTGTGTTATTTTGAAGTTGTTTGCTGTTGAGAATGCTGCAATGCCTTAGATGCTGGCACAGTGCCTAATTTGTCGCCACCAGTGGGATTTGAACCTACATCTCCATCTTGATTCTTGACACAGAGCTGAAATGTCCAAAAATCTAGTCTGAATGTTGATAAAATGCACTGTAACTTCTTAGTTCTTACCACCTGTTGGATTCCAACCTTTGTTCTCCATATTATTTGCACAATGTCAAAAATTGGTAGGTAGGTAATTGTATGTTTCTCCTGCCTTGCCAGACAAATTTCTGATCAAAAATGCTGCATTGATAGTCTGTTTCAGACAAATTGATTGGTGGTCATTTCAGATCCACAGCATGTCACATCACACTGCCTTCAGCACTTTATGGGGAAGTTCAATGCTTATTGCCTGTTTTATTATTCCCCCAGCTTGTTGATTGATGAAAGATTTGTGACAATATGTTGTGGGATTTATTCAATTTTGAGCACAGAGTGCAAATGTCAATTTGCACGTAGCATAGGTTTAAAAATGAGGCTAGATAAAGGGTTGCCATTTTAAATGGCTATTTTTGTTTTGCTGGTACCTACCTATTAATACATTACATAGGTAAGGTAGGTACCTTATTACATGAATGGCAATGACCCTACCACCACATGCTCACTGTGATGTGCATCCTTTGTGATACAGTTAGAAGTATTTAACCCTCGCATGTGTGCGGCGTTTGCCAGCTTCTAATGTGTAGGGGGGGGGTCGGTTGGACCCCCCCCTTGCCGTTTGGCCCCTGATCGAGCTAGAGCTTCGCGGAAAAAACGAGCGTGTTGCCCGTGACGAGAGGAAGCCGATGATACCCAATTTTAAGGTCCTAGGTCATTGGTTGACCTTCCAGGTCAGGTCAATGACCCAAAGTCGGGAAAATCGGGACCTGTTAGAAAGTCGTAAAGTGTGGCTGCTAAGGGGTTTTTCGGGGTGCTGATCACGAATATCGTGTTAGTTTTGATCACAGATGATGTCTTGAAGCATTTAGACTAGGTCGGGTCAGGTCAGGTCAGGTCAACCAGTAGGCGTCGTGACGGGTATTCGTAGTACGTGTCAACCGCCTCTGACAGCTTCGTAACATGTTGCGAAGTCACCAAAACTACTTCGTAAATGTTCAAATGGTTGCTAAATTCGAATTCAGCTCCAAAAACTAGCCTAGAAACATGTAAAACTCGAAAAAGTGAACCGAGGTCACCCGAGGTCACCAAAGGTCAATGACCTGACCTGACCTTCAGGTGACCTTGACACACACGGGAGTAACATCAAATCACATGTTTGAACGTTTGAAACCACGAAAAGCTTGCAAACACGCGGCTAGGGCGAGCCGACATACGCGAAATCGCGATTCCGGCCAAACATGGTCTCGGAAAAGAGGTCACAGGTCAAAGGTCATTTGGGTCAGGGTCATGAAATTTTCAGGGTAGGTGTAAAATTGATCAATGCGAGGCTACTGAAAGTTTCGTCGCGATCGGCCGCTTTTTACGCGAGTTATTCGCGAAAAACCATGGGGGGGGGTCCATCCGACCCCCCCCCTACACATGCGAGGGTTAAAGCTCATCATTTTCACACTTTTTGTGCCCAGCCTACGGCATCCCAATTCCATTTCAATTTTGAAGCAAGTTTTTTGTAAAATACCTTTGCACTAAATTAAAAATGTAGTAGATTTATTGATGCAGGACCAGAAGTGACATGCGAGCAGTGGAGGGCTCATACTTCACCTGACACATTTTCAGCTCATTACTCACTCAATGCATTGAGTACTTTTCTGAGGAATCTGCTGAATGTTTCCCAGTGCAATGTGCATCATATTTTCTTGCACAGTGAAAAACTGGCACAGCTGCTCAGCACTGCCCGCGCCCCGTAGGGGGGCCGAAACGGCCCCCCTGTCCTTTTCCGTCGATATCTCCTAAACGGCTAGAGATATCGCCACCAAACTTTCAGGACCCCTCCGGGCATCAATTTTACACATTGTGACCAAAAATTTTTCCAGAGGCTATGATAGGTTGGCCACAAATGACGTCAGAATGACGTCATGTTCTGCCATTTTCGACCGATAAAAGACCTTCGCGAGAAGAGCTGTTAGGCCTACAGCTTTGAAGATACAGAAAAATGATCAGGACATAAAAGGTGTAGAATTGACAGGGCTACAAAACTGCTATCTCGAATTTTTAAATTTTTGAGTTTTGACCCCAAAAATTAAAAAAGCAATTTTTTGGATATATTTGCCCAAAAATCCAAAAAGTTTTTTTGATTTTCGGGAAAACCGGAATATATGTGTTAGAGCCTACCGTCTTCTATCTACATACCAAATTTCAGATCAATATCTTGTTTTTTGGCCAAGTTATAGCAAAAAAACTGTTCCAAAATGATGACGTCAAATTTTCAAACTCAATTTTTGGCAATTCTAGACAACGTAGAGCAAAACAAAGACCACCATTAGAATCCCTGTGACGAGCTGCGTCGAATCGATACCCATTTTATGCAAAAATATCAACTTTGAAATTTGACCTAATTTGACCTGACCTTGACCTGACCTTCACCAAAACGTGGCCTAAACTGGCCCCAAAGGCTGCCTGACCCACATAATCGCATTTGTCATGTAAAATGGACCATAAAACATGTATCACACGACACTTTCATATTGTGACCCCCAGGTGACCCCCAGTGACCTGACCTCTGTGACCTGACCTGATATCAGTGACCTCAGATAGCGAAGTAAGCGAAGTATGTGTTTGGCGAACAATGTACCGTCGATGGTTTTCAATAACTTACCAATTTACTCGATTTCACAACACATTTCTTGAAATGCCTGTGACCGGTGGAAATCCGACCTTTGACCTGACCTGTGACGTCATCGGTTTGACCTAGGTCAATGAAATTTGGTCACAAGGTAGTTCCCGGGTGGGGCTATCGAACGCCGTTTGAGTTTTGAAAATCGGCCGGTAAATTTCCGAGATCTTAGGGGGGGCTGAAACGCCCCCCCCCCACGGGTGGTAGGGTCCGCCGATAGCCCTACGGGGCGCGGGTTAAGCCATGTGTTGGAATGCATCTGTAATCAGAGCTGTGATACCAGGATGATAGTGAAACTGTTTTAACTATTTTAGCTTTGACACATATCCTTAAGAGCTCCCTACTGGCTGTAAGACCCTTGTCATGGTTTGTTATTTGACAAGCTCAGCACTCAGCAGTATTGTTCCCAAAGTTACAGGTACTGTTGGTAATCACTAGTCGTTGATGCCAACATTCATGGGTCACTGGTCCATTGTTTGGGATCGGCAGTGCCCTGGTTTGTCTTACCATTATGTCCATTCCTGTTTGCAGAGTTTGCCGGAGATGGATCCCAGGGAGGGGATGCCATTCGGCTGGCCGCCGGAGAGTGTGCGCCGCCGGCCGCCGCCACCTCCGGCCGAGTATCTGGCGGCCCAGTACCACCCGCCGCCGCCGGGCCTGTACCCGCCCCACTCGCTGGCCGGCGCGCCGCCGCCGTACGCCGGTCTGCATGAGCACGAGCTGGGCGGCGGGCCGGCGCCGGCGCACTACCCGCCGCCGCCGGACCCGTTCTTCCAGGCGCCGCCGCCGCCGCCGCCGCCGCCGGCCGAGCGGCTACTCTACCAGGAGGAGCCGTACTACATGCCGCTGCACGAGCCGCCGCCGCTGCCGCCGCCGCAGCACCAGCAGCACTACATGCTGCAGCCGGACGAGCTGCACGGCCTGCGCCTGCAGCACGGCCGGCTGGGCGCGCTCGGCGGCCACGACGGGCCGCTGCAGCGCCACCTCAGCTCACCGGCCGGCCTCCTGTCGGCGCCGCCGCCGCTGCCGCCCGTCTCGGCACCGTTCCACGCCACCACGGCGCCCTCGGCGCTGCGCTTCTCACCGCGATTGGCCGCGTTTGGGGCCGAGCCCGAGCATGAAGGGGACGGCGAGTTTGGTACAGCACGCATCAGTGACAACCTGGCGGCCCATCTCAGTCAGATGGAGGCCCCGCCGCCGCAGCTGGAGCCGAGTCCGCCGCCGCCGGCCGCGGCACCCTCCTTCCTGAGCACTCTGTTCGGTGGCTGGCGCGGCGACGCGGCCACGGCCGACTCCGGCCTGCCCGTGTCGTTCGGGGTGAAGCCGGCAGACACGCCGCCGTCGCCGCCATCCACGCCAGTCGCAGACATGGTCCAGGAGCTGGGTGTGACGGTGGCGGCGCCGGCCACCCCGGAGCCGGCGCCCGCCAGTCCGACACCGACTCCCGTGGTCGTGACGCGCGCTGAGCCGGCTCGTCCGAGCTACTCGGCCGTGTTGGCCAAGCCGCGGCCGCCGCCGGCCCCTCCGGCCGCCGCGCAGCGGTCTGTGGACTCGGGATCGGTGGCTGGGCGTCAGCAGAGTGGTGGGCCTCGCGGGCAGACGGCGCGCGCCGGCGAGTCGGAGAGTGGCGGTGGCTCACGGCGCGGCGGCCGCGGTGGTCGCCGCCGCCGCTCCTCGGCAGACACAGTGACCAGGGCAGCGGCGCGCGGCTCTCCGGCTGGAGGTACCCCTGCGCGCCAGCCGACTGCCCCCGCCGGCCGGCCTGCCCAGGAGCAGCAGCCGCCGCCACCACCACAGGTGCCCGGCAAACCTGCAGATACCAGCAAGAAGAAGAAACGGAGCGGCAAATCATCACGCTCTGGTGAGTTATTAATGGAACATTTGGACAATACTTATGAGTGCCCTGCAGGAGAATGTCCCATGTCTTCAGTAATTGTACAGTTTCAATTATAATGGCTGCTCTATAATACGAAAACCTAGGCTGCTGTACAGTTGTAAAATCATAAAGGTTTTCGTTTTGCTATAAGTGGTGAGCTGTATTTGCGCTGTCCAGTGGTAATTCTGTTGTAAGCCTTTTGACACGCCACGCATTTTTGCAGACGTCGACTGATCAAGTCGACTGGTTCAAAAGGGTTGGGAACCTAATATCGATTTTCGTTGCAATCTCGTTAGTTTCACCTTATGGCTTTCTTGCATATTTGTGATGTTTCCGGCATTCTGTGCGGGCTCCTGTCGAGCTCGTGCCTGATGTCTGATTACATGGATCAATGAGTCGCGTATGACGGCGCGGTCGATCCGCCCCGATCGACTGAGATGCTCGCCGGCAGATAGGTCCTCTGCCGTGCTGTGCTCTGAAGGAGTACCGCTCTCCCCACAGAGTCCTCCGACTGCTCGGTGGCCGGCCGGCGCGCCGAGACGCTCAACAACAACCCGGACCGGGCGCAGCCGACCGTCCAGCGCCGGCCGCTCAACTATAACAACAACCTGGGCGCCTCGTCCACCCTGGGGCCGGCGCAGACCCATGTGCACGCGCCGCCGCCGCCGCCCACCGCCGGCGACACCAAGAAAATCGACGTCAATGTCGGCAAACAGAAAAACTGCGCCGGAAAAACGTCCAACGAGAGCAAGAAAGTCGGTAAGGATTTTTCGCCTGCCCTTAAACTGACAATTGGCACTCATTCACAGCATTTGGCAGTGGTGTGTCGTTTCCCCGTTCGCTCGTAATATTTTTTCTTCGAATTTTGAAGACTTGGTAATTTAAGTCATTAGTGGTGCAGCCGTGCTGGTCAAGCCATATTTCGCCATATTTTGCTTTATTGACAAGCGTTTGTGAAACCGTACGTCCTAACCGATTTCCTCTGTCCTGACAGCCGAAGAGACGATGGACAAGCCGGACAACAAGACGCTGTCGCAGTCTCGGGGCTCCCAGCCGCTCAATCTGCTCACACCCGGCGGTGCCGCCAAGTCGGAGCGTGTCAGCAAGGAGCTGGCGTTCCGCGCGCGGCCGGGCCGGGCGAGCGGCCGCGGCCGGCGCGAGGCCGGGGAGCCGACCTCTGACCTGCTGCGCCGGCTGGCGGCCCAGCTGACGCCGGGGGTGGCGCTGGTGGGCACGCTGCTCGCCTGGCTGGCGCACCTGGTGTGTGACGTGACGCTCATGTCGTCCCGGCTGCTCGGTGTGCTGATACTGTCCGTGGTGGAGGCGGGCCGACTGCGCGCCTGCCGCGCCGCCGGCCGCGCCCGCGCCGCGGTCACCTCCCGACTGGCGGCGATACGCGACTGGTGGAGTCGGCCTGCCGCCTCCGGCACCGCCGGCTCCGGACTGACGGCCAATATCTCCCTGCCGGCCACCGGCGAGGACGCCATGAAACGACTGCTGGCCTGCAAGGATAAGGACCCGTACAGGTGAGGGACGGCGTGGTCGCCAAGCCGACGGTCACTGCTCGTGAAACATGGTGACACATGGTCGACAGTGGTCATTGGTCACCCAGTACGCCTCTGACGCCCGTATGAATCATGCTGTTCAGTAACTTTCATGTCAGTCGGCTTACTTGGCTGGCACCAAAATTCATATGCTCTGATTCTTATGCCACTCATGCTTTCGTGTACTGAACGGCTGAAACCGTTTGACACCACCCATGTATTTCGTTCTACAGTATTCTGGGTGTGACGCACAACTGCTCGGACGCCGATATTAAAAAGTACTATAAGCGTCAGGCATTGCTCGTCCACCCGGATAAGAGCCGCTCACCGGGCGCCGACGAGGCCTTCAAGATTCTGCGGCGCGCCTTCGAGCTGATCGGATTACCAGTAAGTTTCGTGGGTGCGGAGAACATAGAAAGATGGTGATCGGTGTCATTATTTATAGACATCAGTTCTCACAGTTACGCTATAATTGGCACTGGCTGATAGGATGAGGTAGTTGGCAATGCTAAGATATTAAATTACATCTGTATTTAAATCAGAGCACGGGGTATTTTTGATGATATCCACGCCTAATTGCTGTTTATTTTGTTTTATTTAAAATGACAGGAAATAGTTTGACAATGTGATCGCATTACGGATTATACTCGTACTGCGGTTTGTGTTCACAAGCGCTCGGATATTACGTTATGCTCCTCCGGTCTTGCTGTGACGCCGCGGAGGACTCGAGGCCTCGTCTGGGCCTGTACCGGATGCTATTGGTCTTCAATGTGCGTCCCTCCGTCTCCAGGAGCAGCGGGCGGCGTTCGACGCCCAGGCCAAGGAGCAGCGCGAGGTGGACCTGGCCTTCCGACAGTACACCGAGGAACTCATGACCCGGCTCCGCGAGAAGATCGAAGAGACCCAGAACACGCTCCGGTTAGTTACTGCAGTTGGAGCTGTCCTGTTTCTGGCTTTTTTTTAACGTGTTGTGCCCTAAAACGAGTCAGCCATCCCGAGTGTTCTTTTCTTACTACATTTTTGCCTACACCTTTCCTTGCTCAGTGTAACTATTTATCTTCGCTTGCTTCGATACAGTTGTGTTCGGTCAGTCTGCTGGCCAGTGTTTCCGTATTTGCGGATCACCCGATGCGTGTTGGTGCCTTAGTAACTGCGCTTCTCGACGAAGTCTCGACTTGCGGCAGTGGGGCTCGACTGGCGAATGTTTGGCCGGTGGATACAGTGACTGTATGATCTCCGTTCCACATCGTTTAGCCATTCTGTGAGCTAAGCGTGACTCGGATGACGCGTGTGTCGCCAGATGCAACAACTGCAACCAGCGCCACCGTCGCAGTCGCACACAGCGACCGTGCTACGCGGCGCGGGCCTGCGCCACCTGCAAGATCCAGCACGCGGCCAGAGAGGTGAGACATACAGGGACCGGGCCGCGAATGGTGCGATCAAAGAGAAGATGCAGTGTGCGTGTAGCGACAGCAGGATACTAGGGATTCGAGAATATGGTCTGTTGTACTTGCGTTTGGAGGCCGAAGTATGATTCCTGCCCTCCAGACATGTTCAAATGCTTACTGACGACATGGGATCGCGCTTGGGACTAATTATAGATATTGCGACTCTTGTAAGCTGCAGGCCGCTCGCGAACCATCAAGCGACTGATTGACACACCAGTGTGTGCTCTCAGCTAGTGTCATGTTTCATCTCGAAATGATAAGTTTGTTGTTTCCTCCGATACCATAAATTCCGACGATATTCCTCCGCTGTATCCGCACTAATACATCGTATAATTGTTGTCGTCATAACTGCATGCTAGTTGGTGCCTCAGCAATCAATCGCAACTTTATAACCTGTTGTTCCTCATTTCAGGGCGACATTTGGGCGGAGAGCCGGTGGCTGGGCCTGTTCTGGCGCTACTACGCCTGTATGGACGGCGGGGTGTTCGACATCAGCGAGTGGGCCGCCTGCCAGTCGCAGTCGCTCAAACACCTGCAGGCCAACCACCATACGGTTCAGTACCGCATCATATCGGGCGCCAAACGGCACCGGCCGCCCGCCGACGAGCCATCGTGAGTGAACGAACACCCCACCCCCCTGTCCAAACGGCACCGGCCGCCCGCCGACGAGCCATCGTGAGTGCCTACGGCCCTCTCCCTCCCCCGTGAGCCCCTCGTGAGTTTCCGCGCTTCACCCTCCCCGCCCTTGAGCCCTCGTGAGTCGTGGGTGCTCGCTCCCCTTCTTCTAAGGCCTTTAACCCGAAGGCAGACTGGAATGTGCGTAGTAAAGTAATCTTCGAATGAACTGGGATGCACCCATCTACTCATGTAGCTGATGGGGTCTTCACTGACCCATGAATGCTCAATGAGCTATAATCTTAGATAATAGTTCATAGTTAATAATCATAATCATAGTTTTCTGATAATTCTTCGAAACATCTTTACAGACGTGGATATTTTGTCCCGCCCGCATCAATGCACCGATTCCGTTTTACCTTGTCTGCTGACAGAGCCAATGCGTGTCTGATGAGTGTATTACACCACTGTTGTAATGCTGCAGCTCCCTGAGCTAGCTATTGGTTATTGTGTTATGTTTCAGCTTATAACCGTCGTAAAGCGTGCCGCCCTGCCTGTGACTAATCTCTCCGCCTGCTCCCCGCAGTGACCGCGATCTGGAGGACATTCTCAGCAACCTGTACAACAACGGATCGATGTCTGGCGAGCCAGCGGCGGGCCAGCGGCGCCGCGGCGGCCGGCGACGCGCCCACTGAGCCGTGTGAGTGCGCCGCGCGCGCGAGGGACGGACGGGATCGGAGCAGATCTGCGCGGAGAGTGGAACTGTGCCGGGGAAGGCCGCGGTACTGAGACGGGCGGGCGGAGGGCGGTGAGTGCAGGCGACCAGTCCGTTGTAGGGCTGGAGGAGTGGCAGGGGAGGGTGTTCTTTCGTCTCGCGGTAGGACGTTCCTCTCCTCATGCCAGTCGGCGGGTTGGGAACGGATATCCCTTCTGATGATGGGGAAAGGACTCCCTCCGCCGGATGGAAGGGATGGTGCGCGTGGGAGGGACGCTCTTCCTGCCAGGTCAGGGGGACGTCCATTCTGCTGTCTGGGGAGGGACAGCCCTCCTCTGATCGGCAGGTGAGGGACGTCCCTCCATCCCCGGCTGGGAGGGACGCCCCCTCCCAGCAGGACAGACACGTGCCTCCGCTCGGAGGCAGGGAGGGACGACCCTCCATCCGCCAGTCGCGCTGCCGTGGCCCGACCCAGCTTTGGGTAACAATAAAAGACGAGACGGTGCCGCCGAGCGAGGCGTGCTGCCGGTCTCTGGGGGCTGGCGGTGACGGAAAGGTCGCGGGGGCAGTGGGAGGTCGTGCCGCGGGGAGGGGCGCACAGGGTGTCGACGGCTCTCGTACCGTGCTGGTGAATGTGAGGCGAGCGAGAGCCCGCCGTTCGTAAAGCTACGCCCATCTGCGGTGGATCTCCTAGTATTTGGATCGGTATTACCACCGCCCTATGCACCAATTCACCACCGGTACGGCTGACCAGTCGGGACTCCCGCACCTCTCACACTTTCGGAAATCAGTTCTCGTTGCGATGGGTGCACGGCGCCGGGCGCTGCGGGCTATCAGTGTGCGTGAGAACGAAGGTGCTCCGGTAGGCGTGGGTGTTCGGTCTGGCGTGCACTGTATATCTGAGCGGTGTTCGTATGCGTGCAGCGGCGGTTCGAGGGTCCGGGGCGGGTTGTTGTCGCGTTTTCGGCGGCCTGGCGGGCGATCGGGCTGTGGGCTTGCGGGAAGGAGGCTTTGCTGTGATGTGGTCTCTGCTGAGGGCCGCTGGCGGCGCCGGTCGGCGGTCCTGCGGCCGGCGGGGCTGTCGCCGCTGACCAGCCGGTCCGCCTCGCGGCGTTCTCTGGCTTCAGTCTCCTGTGGCCACCGTATGCAAGCCATATGCAGTTTTAAGAGGATATCTCTGCCTTCTCGTCTCAATGGCGTGCTTTCAGCTTTGATTTGATTTATTTGCCTTGGTTTAGTTTGCTTAGCGGTTTCCTTCTAGGATCGTTTTCTTCTTCTTCAGAGTTGCACTTGTTCGTGTTGGCCGGCTGTCGTGTTGGTAGGCTCGTATTGCGTTTCAGCTCGGTTTTCAAACCTCGTGTGCTACTGATATGTATTCTCTTTGGTATGGTCTTTACAACACGACATGATTCAGAATAAACAGACTTTGAAGGCCGCGTGTATCAAACGAGACAAATGGAGACAATACGACTATGCTAAAATACGAGTCCGTATGAGAATACAGTCACGAGAGAGGGTGATGCTAACATGGAGTGCTATGAAGTGATGCAGTACAATATCACGGTAATGCCGAGCTGAATGACCGGGATGGACGGAGGGTCTGACCCCGCGGACTGGGGGAGCACCGTCTCCTTATGTGGAAGTGGTACACCGGCGAGGCCTCACGCGGATCCCAAACTCACACAGACATAGGCCAACACGCGCGCATGGGCTCTGGGGAGCCTGGACGGAGCCGCGGTGTAGCCTTCGTACGGGACATCCTACTCAACTGAGGAACCAGTGTTACTCAGCCCCGCAACGTCGAGTGGCGATGCCGGACATTCACAACTATCTCACTCCTCAATACGATTACAGCTAGAATAAAATGACGGCAACACTGCCCGATGACACCGAGGGCGGCGCATATCCACGGCCTATGGAGCTCATCAGCCGGCCGGGACGGCGCCGGGTCGGGCTGTGTTGTCGAAACAGCAGCCGGCCGCTCCCTTAGACCTCCTGACGAACCGTGTTGTCCTCATCGTCGTCTTCATCGCGACGAGACGGGTCCGCTTCGGCTGGACGAACTGTGATTGAACGGTCTGGTCAGTCACAACGCCCGGGAGAGACAAGTCATACACAGTGGCCACTGCGTCCAAGCCGAAGCATGTCCGTCCAATGTCCAATGCGGGTCAATGGATCGGCTGAATCCCAGCCCGTTCCATGCTCTGCAACACATTTAGCTCAAATCGAGCACTGAGTCCTCCCATCGCTCCCACGCTAGTTCTATTCCCATTCGTAGTCCGTTACCCTCTCCCAAATCCCTATACTCACTGCGGCAGGCGGCGCGGCGCAGGCTGATATCGTCCAGAGCGAATCCGAAGTCGGTGGCGCGTCCCTCGAAGACGACGCGCAGCGGCCGGCTGGCGTCCATCTGCACCTCGCCGTGACGCCAGGTGACTTCCTCGTCCACCTCCTCGGCTCCGAGGGTCCACAGCGTCTGCTCGTCGTCAGGGTTCACCTCCTGGCCTTCGGCTGGCACCGGCTGGCTCACCACACTCAGTGTCGCCGTGGCCGAGCGGGATAGGGACGCGTACCAGAAGGAAACGCACAGCAGACGCTCCGAGTCGACCGGCTGGAGAGGCGGCGACGTCAGGCGCAGCTTCACCGCGTCCTTCTTGTTGGTGTTGAACGCGTCGAAGTAGGTGTACCCCTCCGAGGTGTGCAGAGTGTGGTCCTCGAGTTTGCGCGGTTTGCGGTCCTCGGTGGCGAGGCGCCAGCGCTGTTGCTCGTCGCTGTCGGTGGTCGAGTTGCGCCAGCCGCAGGAGTCGCGTGTGAAGTCGCAGTCGCCCTCGGTGACCATGGAGTACTCGGGTTCCTGGTCGCACGCGCCGTCCACAAAGGTGATATCGTCCAGGGCGATGGCGCCCTTGGCGCTGCGGCCCCACATGCCCTCGAAGATGATCTGGGGAGTGGAAGACACGAAATTAGTGCAAGAATCGGTGGTCGTAATGCATAGGACACGAGTACCGAGCTTCCTACTGAAAATACAAATTTAGTAGGCATTGTCTGTCAGAGCGAAGTTTCGCAAAGACTGGCCGTTCTGCAAGATGACGGATACGTACTAAGAGTGATATCGTAGTCATACCTGGCACGAAGGACGAAAAGTTATTACTCTACGTCGGGCTGACAGCATCAGCTTTCCTACCTTGTGCTTCTGGCGGATGTCGACAGTGGTCTGTCCGTAGCTCCAGCGCACGTTCTGCGAGTTTCGGACTGACCAGAGCGGCTTTGTCATCAGGTCATCGTCCTCGTCGCGGTACTGAGCCAGCACGCGGATCGAGCCCACCTGGGAGCCAGAGGTGCTCGGGATCGTGGCGTCCATGTAGTACCTGAGGATGGACGTAAGGGGGATTGGGCAGCGCGTCAGCCGTAAGACGCCGCTAACGGCCGAGCTGGGAAAAGGAGAGAGTGGGCGTACTCTGGTTCCAGCACACAAATAGCTACACACCTGTCCTATAGTAAACGAAGAGCCAAAAATTACTACGGAATAGCTTCCAAAGCAGTTGATGAATTTGTATTACTGTGTCCATAGACCTCTGTACACCGGTCTATGTACAGAGGTCTATGTTGTGTCCAATTATGACTGGTTGGTCATCGAGTCAGTCCCCAACCACATGTCCGACAAGTCATCCCATGGGCGCCGATAATCTATTATAATCCGGGCGCCTGAAAACTCAAAATCATCATCACAACACAAGTCATCCTCACGTCAGATCGCCCCCTTCCCCGCCCCCGCCCACATACACACATCATCCCCATTGCCCATTGGTAGCCATACACACCTGAACGTGAGACAGTGCGGCCGCTCGCTGCCCTCCATTGTGGGTGACATGAGCCAGGCGAACTCGCCGGGTCGCTGCGGGTCCGAGTAGGTGAGCTGCAGCAGGTAGCCGCGCTCCGAGCGCAGGGTGTGGTCGGTACGCGGCGCCAGAGCGTCCCGGCCCGTGATACGCCGCCAGTCGATCCTGTCCAGACCCTCGCGACGGCCCGGGTTCATCCAGCCGCACTCGTCCACCTGAGTGGAACGGTGGTATGAAAAGTGTTAGTGGAGATGGCACGATGAGGGGTCCTCACAACGGCCAACAATACTGCTGAAAAAAAAATATAGCGACTCATGACTTCACCGTCTGGCTGCTAAAACGCGGATCCTACGCTCTGGCGGCAGCAATGACAGCCGGAACCCTGAGGCCGACAGGCTGAAGAGCCGCTTTCTCACCTCGAACGTGCAGTCGCTGGAGTCGGGGGCGGCCGCCTGAGGCGCCGATGGGCACACGCCCGGTGTCAGGGACACGTCGTCGATGGCAATGTCACCCAGGTCGTCAACGCCGACCTCCGCCTCGATGGCGATCTGCCGACGGGGAGGGGGAATTTAGACATTGCCGACGGAGGGAGGGCATTCAGACGGTGCCGACGAGGGGGTGGTGGGGTGAGACGCTGCCGGTGGCCCATCAGGTGGCATCTGTTCTGCAGTCGCTGTATGCAAGGCACCTCGGCAGCCCGGGGCATTTATGATCCGGGATAGACGGTGCCTTTTTAACTACATGTGTTCTAAATGTGTTAGGCTAACGACATTGGTCGAGGAAAGGACAGCATCTCTCATTATCTTATTTATATCTCTTATCTCTCTCGTTTTCCCCAATCTCTCCCTTACTCTTCATCTCCCTCTCTCCCCCTCCCCACACTGACCTTGTACTGCTCGGAGGCGGTCACCGGCACCTGGCCCTGATACCAGCGGTTACCGGACGGGCCGGACAGCGTCCACAGCACCTTCTCGTCATCACCGACCATTCTCAGTACCCGCAGTGCGCCGATACCGGAGCCGTGCATGTGTGTCCAGAATCGGAAACACATGGGCTCGGAGCTCTGTGTGGCCGGCAGCTGACGGGACAGCAGGCGAGCCTTGTCTCCGGGCCGGCGCGGGTGCGACGCGTCGATGTAGACGTACCCTCCGGCCGTGCCACCGATCACGCTGCTGCCGTGGTCCTGTGAGGGGTCAGGGTCAGAGGGTCAGGTTATTTATCAGAGGCTAGGGAGAGGCCAGGCGAGTAAATGGTTGTTGCATAAGAAGTTGGAGGTAGAAATCGCTATAATGAGGCTTGAGAGCCCATTTGTCGGAGGTCACAGGGTAAAGGCCTCACAGGCCAGGGGTCAGTCGCCTTCCAAAGTGTTCTGAGCTCCTTCGTGCGGTAGAATGGCTGTGCAAACTCTAGGTTAGTCAATTTTGCTCATTAGAATTCACGTCTCGTGGCCGGGAGCGGAACGACAAATGTGGCATGATTAATTACGGGACAGAAATAGTCAATGCTAACAAAAAACAATCCCCACTCGGCAATTAAATATTATCTCTGGTCTATCTACATGACGCAGCACGAAAGGGGGTGACATCCGCGATATATCACTGCACGATTTTAGCCGACCTACCGGACAACGAAACAAAGGGAATCATTACACACCTACGAAAGCACCAACGCCGGCACAAAATCCACCGCATTTTGACTATTTCTACTAATAGTATCGATTCAACTGCTTTTAATTGTTCTTTTTATCATTTGCAACATCTGCACTCCGTGCAGTCCTGCTTGCTTATATACTTCAACTTTCGCCGCTAGATGGCAGTAGCATTGTTCGCCTGAAGGTATGCTGTACCGCAAGGCTTACAGTCTGCCTGAACGCATATACTGTGCCGCATGGCTCACAGCCCGCCTGAAGACATGCTGTGCCGCAACGCTCAAGCGCAAGAAATGAACTCAGGGCAACGAGAACTCCCCGGGTAAATTTATCGACAAAATGGACTAGCATGTCTTCGTGAGAAGAAAAACGTCTACTTTTGGGCCCATGGAATTATTATCACAGCATCTCAACAGTAATCACTCAATACGATCGGCTTTACAGGCACAAACCCAGAGCCCTTTCACCTAGAGGCCCGAGTCGAGATTACTTTACTAGCCCGAGTAACATAGATTACTAGCCCCAGTAACGTATCTATCACAACTAAGTTTCATCTTTCATAAGAACATGACAAGCGCGGCTTTTTTAGCCCCGGCACAACAGCTGACCCACGGTTCGTTTCCAGTCGCCCGTAACATACCCGCATGGGCCCCGTTTTGGGGTTGGTGGTGCCGCGCGCGCTCGTCCATTGGAAGTCGTCGCCGTCGCTCTGTGTCCAGGTGCACGTGTCGGCGTTGAAGGTGCACTCGTCGGCGCAGTCGGAGCCCTCGGTCAGACGCACCGAGTCGATGGCGATGTAGCCGCGGTAGTTGCGGTTCTCACCCTTCAGCGGGATGGCCTCGAACACAATCTGCCGCCCGAACGAACGGCCTCGTTAGCTACATTTTGGCATGCTTCAAGTCATTGTTAAACATTTTAATAAGCAAACAAATAGACACGTCATTTCCGTTATTAAGTTCCTCCAAGCAGACAAAGCTAAGATTGAAGATAGACAGACAGACAAACAAAACAGACAGGCAGCCAGACAATCAAAGCAGGCAGGCAGACAGACAGACAGACATTCAGATGCCCCCGTTCCGTCCCGTACCGTGTGGTCCCGGCTGGAGGTGATGAGTTTCTCGGTGGGCGTCCAGCCCTGGTCGTCAACGCTATCTGACTCCCAGATGACGATGTCGTCGCGGTGGTCGGCCGTACTGCCGTCCCGTTCGTCGTCTGATACGGGGTGGAGAAGAACGCGCAGACGGTCCACGCTCAGACCGGCCTTACTGTACTGGAACCTGAGGGGCGCAATCGAGCGTCGGCCGTCGGGTCCGTCAGACGCAAACACACTCCACTCAGTTTATCAACAGTCAAACGTGACGAGTGACAAAATTTTCTGATCAATCACACACCACACCGTAAACACCAATAGACATGTCATTATTACGGAGCGAGCGAAGCGAGCGTAGTCTTTCCTTAGATTAACGGAAACTTCTGAGTATGAGCAGCCGCTATGCACTCAGTTACACCACACAGCGGTTCGGTATATTTATGGGGGGAGTTTTACTGACTTGAGGCACTTGCCGGCCGCCCCTGTACTGGGCATCTCTGGGCTGTACAGCATGGCTGACTCGGTGTTGGCTCCATCCTCGTCGGTCGGCATCGAGGACGTCTCAAAGAAGGCGTATCCACCTGCCGGAAATCCACGATAGCTCGTCAGGGAGGCGGTAGTGGTGTAAAATGGATAGGAGCACTTATCGACGATCGGGCGCACTGGATAATGAGTACGTCACAGATGTCGATACACGATCAATAATAATATGTTCCGCATCGGAGAGATTGCCAGTGGCTCAGCATCAGTTCATCGCCGTTATTGTCCCCCGACATCAATGTCTCGATGCCAGTATTTCGACGTCAGCGTATCAATATAAGTGTCACGACATCAGAATACCGCCATCACTATCCCTAAGAATCCCCACGTCCGTATTCCACGATCAGTGCCCCGGGACATCATCTCGCTCACCGTCCTTGGCATTGTCGGCGTCCTCCGGAGGTCCTCCGACCCAGTTGGCCCCAGCTCCGGTCGAGCTGCGCCACATCAGCACAGACATGTTGGGGTTGGAGTAGTCGCACAGCGAGTCGCGGCCGCCGCTGCCGAACGCGCAGTCCGGGCTGCCTGAAAATGTCAAATACGTTACCTAACTGACGTGGTTTGGACGAAAGAAGGTATCCGATAAGATTTCATAATCGCGCAACACAATCGTCTATTTCAAAGCACTCAAAAGTCAACACCTTTTTAAGGACGACTACTGCTCTGCCGGACCGCTGTGCTACGGTGGTCCTGTACTGCGACCTTACCATAGTACATGACCTTTGACCTTTTACTGTGACTATGACCCTGTACCGTGACCTACCTGGTTGTTCCTCATCGTCATCAGGCCGTCGTTCCGCCTGCCGCTCGATTCGAGTCTGTAACAGAGGGTGAGCAGCGTGTCAGTCGCCGTGTCACCGGTCTATCTGCGGCGTGTTATGGACGCATCAGCGGTGTGTCAGGGCTGTGTCATGGGCTGTCATCGGTGTCATCGGGATCTCAGCGGGGTGTAATTTGGAGCACATCAGCAGCTGCAGCATTTCCTCACTGCCCAATGTAGCATTCAGCGGTCTGCAGAACAGATCAACGGGCATAGTGAACGGGCCCCGCTCACCGCCGTGCTTGAGTGAACTGCACCGCCGGCCGCGCCCCGTGCTCCGGAGCCGGACCTAGCCGACCCAGGCTGGCGGAACTGATACACCCCCTGCGCCGAGGGCCGGTCCTTTCCTCATCAATCAGCGACCCACTCTGATTAGACGGAGATGAATTGTTCCACTCGCAGAGACACACATATGACATAACGCATTGTGAGCCCATACCCAAACCAGCTCGTTATTGGCTCAGGGTCATGCCGAGGTGGCCCAATTCGGGCGTGACGCGTGGAGCGGGCCACGTCCGGGCTGGTCTGGCCCTGCTGACCTCCTGGTCCCGTCCCCGTCCACCGTCCCCACCAAATCACTGCTACCAATCATCGCGATCGCCCGCCGGGCGAGGTCACAGGTTAATCGTCAAATGACGAGTTTAAGCGAACGAGTTGAAACCGTATGTGTCGTTCCATATCTATGGATTCATAGTGTTATGCCTGGCTGCTCTTACTTTTGAACGGTACAAACCAACAACAACAAAAAAAAAAACTGAATGCCTCATGCTCAGGGGCAAAGGTCTGCCCGATGACCCAGCAAGCTGTCTTCAACATAAGCTATATGACCGAAAACGTATTCATTTTATGCCATACACAACTTTGCATTTCTATTGACTTTTAATCATGTTTCTATTGCACTTTCCTAAGCAGGAGCTGTTACTGGTAGCGCAAACCGAAGCCTGCGATAGGCCCCCGGATTCCTCAGGCGCATTCCTGCTCGGTTCGGTTGCACCGATTTCCCCGAATAACACAGCGTCGGTACGGCTGTCTATCGACCCAGGCCGAGTCGTCGGGTCCCAATGAATGGTTAATGCGCGCCTGCCCCCAATCGGTTCAGTAATCACTATGGAAAGCCAGTCACAGACAGTCTGACACGCAGCCCCTCCCTGAACCCTCTGACCTCCCCTCCCCATGTCCGACAATACCACGGGACATCGCTGTCATCGGGCAGACTAGGACAGGCAGTCGCAGCAATACTGCTAATCCGGTAACATGAATCTTCTCCCTCTCCGTGCTAAGGACTGTACCATACTGTGACTGGGACTGGGTCGGTAATGACTTATAACTATCCATTCGCAGCCCCATGTCTTTGCTCACGCTCCGGCAGTGGTGGCGACCGGTTCTGTTCGGACCACATTAACATTGACCGGTGCGCAGGCCGCAGAAAGGTCGCTACGCTGTCGTGCAATGAGCGCACAGTGCACACGGAACTGAGCGAAGGTCCCGGTAGCGCCGTTGTTTGATGGACTCCAATTTCGCTGTCTACTAAAATCATTTTGGAACGACTTTTATGGGACCACCGCACAGTCGAGCCTGTCGATTTGCTGTAGAACGATGACCATGGCTTCCTGCTATTGACCAGCAAATTGGAATGATGGGGCTCGAGCATGCATGATGACCAGATCCTTGACCTAAATACTGTACGACAAAGTGCAGGCTCATCGACCAGATCCACTCGCCGCAAGCTCGGTTTGGATATGTATACTCGTATGCATCATTGCGACCATGCCACTACCGGCCTTCCGTACTACGAATTATAATGATTACATGAAAAAAGCGCCTGATGGGCATGAAAGATGCAGAAACGGTAAATTATGCAGAAATATAAAAGCCTCTTAGTTCCGGAGGTGCCAGAAAGCCTCCTTGATCGTCAATCATCTACCTACCGTCTTAAACGAATTGACAAATGTCTAGGCATAAATTAGCATAAATTTATAATCACTTTTACCGTTAATGAGCTACGACTATGCTACCAGCTACGACCTTGCCACGGATTATACATTTGTCAGGCGGGTGCTTGGCGAGGAGTACCGTCACGACGCCGCGCAGTAAAATTACGACGCTGCCCATCGCGGTCTGAAACAGCACCTGCGCTTTGCCTATCGACCGGCAGTCAAGCCGGCCTTGGTCAATCTGATTGCTGCTGACTTACGGTTCGGCGCTAAAAAACAAGGTTGTTGCTTCAATGGTTCGGAATAAAAAAGTATGTAAAAATGAAAATGAACTGGCCACCGTATTCCCATTGCAGCTGACGCAATACGAATATGCTATATTGCGCCGGACATAAGTTTCTTTTTTCCAGACAAACCCCTCTGGAAAAGTGACTGTCACTACAGTGGTATTGAGTGAGCGTAAATCGTAACCATTGGTATGCAACATTGTTATTCACCGTGACATGTTGCAGTGAGTCTGTGCAGTGTCCCAAAATTGTATTTTGCCTTGGGTGTCAGAGGGGAATAGCTCGCCTTAAAGGGGGATAAGAGTGGAAAATTGTCAATCACATAAGCCCCTAAAAGATTGGAAAAGGGATCAAGGGCGCACATTTATATGCAACTGAGACAGATTGCAGGATGGGAAACGACCAGCACCCAAATGCTTACTGTCAGTAAAATTGGGAGTTGGAAATAGCTCTTAAAAATGGGGATGAGAATGCAAAATAATTTTCATTTGGATGTCAGGTCGCACCCAAATCGACAAATTTTGCGATACTGCTGTGGACCGTCACTTCGATGTCTCTCTATGTCCGGCAAAATTGCGTCTGTTTGTCAGAATATGTCCCTCTACGTCCGTTCGAATGATGTCACGGTGGCCGGAGATCCCTGCCGTGGTTTTTGCCGCCGCGGCCTCGTTATAACTACGGCCAACCCGCCCCAGTCCAATCTGACTGAGCGAGGGGGTGGGACGCTCTGGGCAGGGGAGGAGAGGGACAGCTGTCGACTGCAGCCAAACGTGACGGTCAGAACACGGCTCAATGTGACAAACAAAGACAATTATGACACAATGTGGCAACTGAACGATGAGTGCGTAAAGCAACCTCCTCATATCGAATACAGTCGTCTGCTACATGGCACCAGCTGCCCAAGAACACGTCAGCCCGCTGAGCCCCTGACTGACTTTTTGCTTTTACAGCCTATAGGAAGTTATGCAATCATAGAATACCTAACAAATAGTTTAAAAAAACGCACACACACAAAAAAGACACCAATTAAGCACACACGGTGAGCTTGTCAGTGATGTGTCGCTTCTGGGGAAGCATGAGTCATGTTTGCCCTCATGAGTAATGCGTAGGTATGAATGATGTCATTGCTTCCGTGACTTCTCCCCCCCCCAAAAAAAAAACGGCAATACCACGCCAGTCATGTTGGCCCTAGTGGCGCCCATTCTGGAAGGATTTTGAAGTAGGAACACACTGGACCATAGATAAGTCAATCTCGACAATCACGTGCATTGCCGGTAAACTATTTTGTCCCCCCCCCCCCCCCATTACCTGTATATTCCTTATACACTTTTGCTAGTATACCCTTAAAACCCGATTAACCTTATGAAGTGATATCACATAGCAAACCGAACCTCCAGGAAACTCTTCCATTAATTTCAGACAGCACAATTAAATGCATAATTACACGAGCTGACGCTTTATATGTTAGCTTGACCCTAAGCGCTATCCGGCCGTTTGACATTTAAATACTGCTGCGTTATGTTGACATTGTCAATGTGCAATTTTTTAAACAGAAAAACGTCCTTATCATAATACCTAATTTTGAGTTTTAATGAACCATGATGGTCTTCATTCTTCTTATAAAAAAAATAGCACAAAAACGATTTAGCCACACATTGCGAGGCTAACACTCCTGACTTTATTCATTTAATGGCTCAAACGATTTTAATTTTTAATACGACACATTTCGGGTCAACACACGATAAACATTTTTCATTACACTAATTTCGTCCGTGAACTCCCGAGGGCAGGCGACTGCTCCCGCCACGTCGGTTGGTGGACCGGTGCTGGTTAGGTGCGGTACCGGAACTGACGTCACAGGATGATAATGACCTGACGCGGCCGGCGGCCTGCCCCGCCCGAGCTCCAGCCGGCCCGGGGTCGGGTGGTCAGCGCTCGGCGCGGCTCACCGCGACCCTGGCACTGACCACTGGCCGACCTCCACAGTCCACAGAGATTCTTACAAAGATGGCCGATCACCCGTGGCCAAAGTGTCGATTTTCTACTAACCGTGGACTTTTGACACACATCAGCCTGTCTACAATATGTAAACGTTTGACACATCCTTGCGTAATTGCTCCTGAGTAAGCCATTAGGCCGTCGACGTCTATAGTTCGCAGAACTGTCCTCTGTGCCAGCTCACTTACCTGGGTGGTGATTCACCGGTAATAGCAGCGCGCTGCTATTACACGTGTCAAATTGGGTTCCCATGGAGACGTCAACAAGCCTATTCCTCCAACACTACCAGAAATGTGACGTCAGCTCGCGAAATGGAATAGCAGCGTGCTGCTAGCACCGGTGAAACACCACCCTGTATGTACGGGCAAGACGGCCTGCTCTGTGACGTCACTCACCTGGACGGGCTTTCGTGTGACGTCACTCACCTGTACGGGCAGGGCGGACTGCTGTGGCGAACTGAGCAGCTCGTCCAGGCTGATGTCCTCTTCCAGGGGAGCGGCATGAGCTGTGACCGCCAGCAGGGCTGCCAGAGCCAGCAGGGCAGCCGGCCGGTGGCTGGCCGGCCTCCACAGGACCATCTGAAAACGGGATACAAAATTTTTAGAATTATCAAAAATATACAGTTGGCGACCTATGTGTGCTACGTGTCTATCGCTTACCTGAATTTTCATTGATTTTATTATCATTATTTTTGTTTACCTATCGAGTTCCGGCTGATCCTGTTAACGAATCGCAAGACATGTTGCGATTTTTCAGTCACATTTCTCCATGTAGGTTCTTACTAAAGGATGTCACCTTTGAATCAGCTGCTCACTGAAGTCTTGCAAATCATATTGTGCATCGGCGCCGTTTCTTACATGAGTAGAACAATGTTGTCTAGCACCCGTGTTGGTACGGCGTCAATTCGCCGAATGGCGGCCCCAGTTCACCGGGTGGGCGGGAGGGGAGGCGCGTGGGGCTGGCGTGTCGCGTGTTCACATTGTAATTATTGATGAATTGGAGGCCGATATTAGTCACTGCCCTGTCGTTTAACGGCAGGAATGACAAAGGGCACCCACCGGACATGAATTATGTGTGCCTGAATAGTCTTGTCCGAGACAGCGCAGCTATATCTAGCCTGAATATTATCCAATCCAAAGGACATGGCGTATAGGTTCATTCCCGGCTCATCCGAGAGCTCTTACCGCCCAGGTCGCTCAGAGACATCCTAATCGCCGTGCCACGCCCCTGTCGTTCGGGGAACCGTGTGGTGCTGCCCAAGTCTCTCAGGGACATAATCGCTGCATTGTTTCATAACGCTCCGGGAAATAATCACTGTCCTGCTCCTACCCCATTTTTTCAATATGACATAGTTAGATGGCATAACAACAGCAACATTCGACGGCTTTACGCCGAAGACCCCTGACACCCATTGGTTGCTAATTTGTTTAATGAATCGTTTGGCGGAGCTGTGGGTTGTTTTATTTTGAGTTACGGCGTGTCTGACGTGTCTGGATATGCCCTGGACGTAAGCGATGAGCGGGCATTTTTCTGTTCCCCAACCGACTCTGCCAGTCAACTCAATAGCGTGCACACGAGCTCATTCGGTCGCATCGATTATGAACATTCCTTTCTGTGTTGTTGTACAGCGTCCACCGACTTTCCGAATGTCTCCCACTAGACACTGCCGTGTCCTAAATCGGACCGCCTTGTCCGTGTTATGCCCACTCTGTCGGTGCCACTGGGGGCATTAACCTGGAATGCGGGGCGGCGGGGCCTCTATCGATCAGGGGTGGTCGGGGAATGGAGCCACGCCCGCAGTGGGTGCACCAAATTAGCACCGGCACCGGGTGACGAACACAGTGGAACGAACACGGATGGAGCCGAACTTTATACCGAGAGGCGCACACGGCACAGCCGACAGCCATGCGCTTGGTGGCTGCCGGTGATGGGTCGGGTGGACGGTGGTGCAGACTGCAGCTGACAGCTTCTATGGCATTATAATTATACAACTGCAGACCATGGCTACTAAACACGATTTGACCAGCATGATTCGACCAGCTTTCTTCGAATGCCAAGTCAGCATTAATTTGCCTTATTACTTTGCAAAAAAAAAAAACGCCAGTTAACAGTGTTTGGTTGCTAATACGCTAATACGGTGCTCCGTTTCGTTTCGTCAACTAACTTAACCAAACGTGAGTGGATAGCAAAACATCGAATTCATAAAGTAAAGAAATCACACGTTTTGCCTATTTTTAGCCCGGTGTTCGTAACACAAACCGGATTTCAAAGACTAAAGTGAACTTTCCAATCTGGTGCTCGGGGACCTATATGCTCGTTGCCAGCGTCCAGTGTAGGCTGACCACTGACCAGGGGAGTCTGGGGGTACCGTTACTCTTCCGGGATGGGCGCACATTCCGGGCAGGGGCGGAAGCGTCACCGCAGCGGGGCGGGGCCGCCGGCGGCGGGGGGGGGGGGGCGCAGAGCGGAACCGAGCGGCAGCGCGCAGTGATGACGGCTGAGCCGGATATGGCGGACCACCGCGGCACAGTCACAGCCACAGGCTCTGCCTACGCCTCTCTGCCGCACAGGATCACCGTTGTGTTCGCGGTCTGACTACGGGCAGCGCGGCCCGCGGGCCGCCGCCGATACAGCCCGTATAGCGCTGAGCTGAGGTAGGCTGTACCGCACAGCACCGGAGCAATGCGGCACAGCATACCTGCCGTCGGTTGTTATGTTACGCCGAGACGTCGAGCAACAGAGCCGCCGCGCCGCGCCGGGCCAAAGCGGTGTCGGGAGTTTTGAATGCCTTTTGAAAATTGGACCGCATCATGTAGACTATTAAAACACATTTTAGGTGCTCTATGGCCTTTTTTCAGAAACAAATGGCTGTAGTTATTCGATAAACGTTTTAGTGTCTAGACACGACTTGTGCCGATGGCGATCTCACATTAAAGCCGACTATTAGAAACAGCGAAATAATAAAAAATCACGACATTGACCATCTTACATCTAGCATTCAGAACAATTTGTGAACAATGTTGGTACCTATAGGCTAGCATGGTCCACTCGATGAGTGTAAAATGAACGCACCACTTTGACATAAACGGCTTACGGCAAATTATTACCTACAAAGCCCAGGGAGATTAAAGGGACACTCCCACCTTAACATTAGTTTTGAGCTGAGATAGCCAAATTGGTGGCCATGGCCTGCAAATACCGGTTTGGGCACTCACAACAGCGACAAATGCTTTAATTCGGAGATATGGAATTTCAAACTTGCAGTTTTCGGATTCTAAGGGGCTAGTGCATTGGTATGCCCCCTTAGAATTTGTGACGTCAGCGGAGATCTAACGATTTTTAAATCTTTTACTAAAACGTTTGGTAGCACGCGGTGGTATATGCTGCTTTGCGCGCAACAAATGCCGCACTTTTAAATAAAGTCGCTAGGAACAGCGGAGATCCCAAAAAGTAAACAAAAGTAAAAGTCTAGTATCTTGAAAACCGGTGAATATTTTTCGATGAAATTTGGTAGATATTCGTTTTCGCTCTTTCTGAACCGAGCGACATCACTTTCGTGCCAATTCATTAACTTTTTTGAAGGTGGGAGGGTCCCTTTAAAGTACGTTAGCATATAGGGTGAACCGTTTATCGTAAACATCAATCATGGCTATAACATACAGTTTTGACCTTTTTCAAATTTCAGCGACCCGACCACAGCAGGGTACCTAATGATCGCGAAAATAGCTGTCAAACTGAATGATTAATTCAGCATCTATTTCAGCTGTCCTCTATTCGACCACTACACCTTTGTCGCCTTTCTAAACAAGCTCTGAATCCGACATTTACAACAATCGAATTCAATTAGGCATTTATCGAGCGACATTACAATTTACAGCACCGGGAAGCACCCAGGCTGACGTTTTTTTTTTTTACCCGTCCTTATTCGATAAGTCAAACAGCTTATCGGGTTCGGGTATAATGGTAAAATGAGCTAATTATCAGTACCCCATTGTTATACATACCTACCTACCTACCTGCTTCTGCTTGCACAATGCACATAAATGTCTTTATCAACCTTGCCTAAATACATAGCTCTATTCACCGTTACGCAGACATAGATGTTTATGCATTATGCATAGGCCATAGTTACGACGGACAACGTGCAATAAGTCGAATTTTTAATCACAATCATTTCTCTGAACAAAACGTCTACCGCCTTTTCTTACAAAAAAAAAAAATCATTTTTTCCTTGGAACATTAGAAGGAAATGTAATGAGATTGAAGATTCTAAACTCAAATGACTTTATCTCACCCACTGATTAAGTCACAAATGCAACAGTAGGTACAATTTATGTACAAATGTGTATCCCTATACACAAATTAGGGTTCATGACCCGTTCATTTACGTTCTCCAGGGAAGCAATATGCATTATTGCTTCCCCCTCGCGTGTCCCGTCGTATCCTCACCTTTATAGCCGAGCGTCCCAAACCAGTGACACTAGGCGCGTCGTTCTCTCGGAGGTCGTCGGTTCGTCGCTGGAGTGGCACGTCCGCTAGCGGTGCGCCCCGGGCGGCGAGTGACCCCCCAGCGGACCCGCTCGGGCCACCCGGACCGCGGCACGCCGCCCCGTTACCATGACGACCGCCGCGTGCCGAACGCAGGCCCGTGCTGGACGCGTGTGTTATTAGTTGCTCGGAGTAGTAATCGTTATGACCTCTGGTAGCTAACTATAACAAATGAGTTACGTATTAATATTTTAACGATTTTTCTTTTTAGGTCGGATGAGGATACGTGACCTCATGAGGTCGCATAATATCCGAACTGAAATGGCTTTAGGTCATACTTCATAGTCCATTATAGACATGGGAAATAAAAAAATGAACATTTATGCCAATGATTGCTCAATTCCAAAATCTTGACAGCGATTTTTGTTTATGGGAATTTAAAGTGTGACGAGTCTTACCTCAGATGAGGCCACAAGTGACCCCACCTCACCTCACTAACTAGTTAGAAGACCAGTCAACTGCGCCTGCTGTCATATGGCCACGTCTTGACGGAATTGAGCGAACTTTCCAGTGGGCGGCGCCCAAACGGAGACAGTTCCTGAATTTGTGTATTACATCGTACTCCATGTCACTCCTGGGATAGATGGCACACGGGCTGGGCGCAGTGCTGCGAGCCTTCCCGACTGACTCCTCATTGCCACCTGCATCCAGTCGAGTCTCAGACTCCGGCAGCTAGGCTCTGGTTTACCGCAGAGCAGGACGGGTCCCCTCTACCATACATATTTTTTCGACAATAGTTAGCAGCGGCGACTACCATATATCACTGACTCGTTTTAGGACGTTAGTCGACACTAGCTATCTCTCAGAATTGTGGGCCTCTGTATCTCCACACCATGACAACAAATAAGGGCTAATCGTTCTGACTGATTACACACGCAACAATCACATTCGTATCACCAGAGACACCGGAGCTACAGGAGTCCCGTGGAGCACCCATTGCCACTCGTACCCCAAGCAGTTACCCTAGTGCTTCACAGCAAATCGGGAGGGTAAAGCATCCAACCAAACTTCGCACAACTCACTGAACTCGACATCATAACACTCACTACTCCTCTTGACTGACCATCGATGAGTGAACAAAATTATATCGCACGAGAGTATAACCCCGTAAACTCAATCCCACGTGTGCTAGACAGGTGGGATACCGTGGCCAGTGGCCTACACTCGTGCCGCTACGACGCCGTACATTCCGCTGACGTGGGGGCCGACGCCGGGACCCGACTAGACTCGGAATATGGACACACGGTCTGACGGCATTGTCAGGAGTTACATCAGCGGGCATAGTGCACTCATATAGAGCACAATACCACGGGCATACGCCCGTCGGTAGACAGTGTGCACTAACACGTTTTAACGGTCTCCAAAGGCGGCTAGGTTTTCAACTTCATCGTGAAATTACGGGTTATTAAACGAATAAACAACCAGTCGAACTACAAGCACCGGTCCCCAAAGAATGATACTGATAAACAGTTCAAACGCATCACAATGATGATGACTCGAATACCCGATGAATGACAGGACAAACAAAACATACGGCACAATAGTTCAAAAGCATATGAAACACAGCTTACCACACTGTTATGAAAGTTATTATCAGTCCACCGCGCTCACTCATCCATCAAAGAACTACAAAGGACTAGCATTTCTCTACACACGAGTGCGCTCGGACTTGTGTGGGAGCTATGGCGAGTCGCCGACCTCAAAAGAACCACTTGGCTGACTCAGACTCAACCCCCCCCCCCCCCCAGGCTCGGCTCATCCTGACTCCCCATCCCCCATTCGGCTAATCCCAACACTAGAGTCTTTCTGCGACTCTCTGTCTCCGAGCTAGCCCCCAACACCCAAACTACCCTCCTCCCCTCAGTCCCCGGCCGGCACTGAGGGATGTTCCGTTCTCCGGACCTACTTTTGGCACGACACGGAGGTCGACGTCGCCCGACCTGCTCAGATCAGCTCAGACAGCGGCCGGCACTCGGCAGTCACTCGGGGAAGTCGACCAGCAGGCTAAAGTTGTCCCGGCCGGGCGGCCGCCTCCAGGGCCGGGAGCGTAGACAGCTCAGAGAGGCCATCAGGAGCGGCACGCAGATCAGCACCAGCATACCTGTCCGGCAAATGGGAACACCGTCACACTCAGCCTTATTGTATCCGTAAAATCACTTAACTACCAACGGAGTATCTCCAATTATATCTTGGATGTCTTGGTTAAAAAAAGTGCAAAATAACATACAAGTGCAAAACACATACAAGTGGAAAGAACTTTCAAAAATATCAAAATAACCCAAAAATATACGGTACTTACCGACAGCCCAGCGAAATCCACCACAAACTAGTACTACCGCTCAAAGATGGATGGTGGAACGGACCAAAAACAAACATATCGGCCAAACGCGCAGACATGTGGTGACGCTTATCACATCCTCCCTGTGATACCCGTTGCGGCGCCGCTACTCCTTACCTCCGAGAACATACATGGCGATGTGAACGGTCCGGTTGTAGGCCGAGCTGGCCTTGTACGCGCACTCGCCGCTGTCTGAAACACGGCAGAGTCGAGATGCGTCAGATCCTAGCTGTCAGTCACACAGGAAAGCAAACCAGTCAAAAATCACCAACCATAATAACCGATTTGAGCAGACTCCCGGTTCCCATCTTTAGTATACAAACCGCAAGCGTAACATCTGAGCAAATCACAGCATCAATGTCGTTATTCCTAGCTATCAAGGCCCAGTAGCTGGTGCCATAGTGACTCTTTATAATGAGGATCACTCCGAGTGGATAGAAGGAAATAGCTGCGTGCTACGCTAAATAATCGTTGCAAATGACGGCACAGACCCATAGCCCGACCTTGCCAACGCTCGGTTGATAACGTTAACCGGAAGTTTGACGCCCCGCCGACAGATCACGGTGCTACCGACTACCGAGTCAAGCGGCATCAGTCTGACCGGGAGGGGGGAGGGGACGGAGGGCACACCTGCGGTGGTGTAGGGCTCGCTGAGTATGACCTCCGGGCCGCACACCGACGGCGCCAGCTCCACCGCCTTCTTCACCAGGTTGAACCGCACGTACAGACCCTCCAGCACCACCACACCTGCAGCGGGAGGTGAATCGAGTGTCACAAATCGTAACGAGGAAATGGTTTTCACAGCAGACAAGATACGGCCTAAGAAATGAGGCACCTTCAAAAATACACAAGTTTTCACTTGAGAAGCGAGCTTTAGGGATTGAGAGGAGCGTTTCATGTATCCTGAACACATCGGAAGAGGTTACGTACTATTCATCTTGCACGTGGGTCATAACTCCTCCCTAGTCCCCGTAAGTATAACGACCTCTGGCGGTCAGACCCCCTTAATCTCCCGTCAGCCATCTCATCTCCGGTTGCCTTACCCAGTACGGTGCCGATGTTGGAGGAGTCGATCCCCAGTGTGAAGCAGCGGTGTCCTTCATCGTCCCCGCTGCCGTCGTCAAACACCTGCCGTAGATAGCTCTGCGGCACAAAGTGATGATCGGTGAGACGATTCAAGCAAGAGTTAATATCCCCGCACCACACATATGGCATGAATAGGGACAACTATCAATGTCTTGAATGCAAAGAGGCTCACTCACCCGTGCAGTGATGGTGACGTCGAACGCCGACGTGGGGTCCGTCTGCAGCGACAGGGTGATGTTCGGTAGACGGTCCCAGAGGGCGCTGTCGTTGAACGCCGGCGCACACAGCCGACCCTTGCCCGTCCAGAACGGGTGTGCCGGCTCGGCGAGCGGCGCCGCCTGCTGCAGACGCGACACCACCTCCCGGAACACCTGCTCGGAAGGCGAGGGCATTACATGGCGTCAAATCGCCAGATTCAACTGTTAAATACAGTCAGCATCAACTGTGTCTGTGGAACATCATTTACGCATTATACGGATACCAAAACAGTATAAAAACTAGTACCAGTGATCAGAAGCTGCGGTCCTCAAACTAATTCCTCGTGGCTTCATTAACAAGAATGCATTCAAAACTATCAATCCGATATTCGTCAGATTTATCTATCAGTTATAATTATCAACTGGTTGATTCGTTTACCCACCTCATCCGGAAGCCGCAGATTGGTGGTGCCGGTATCTACGATCGTCTTTGGTTTGTTGAAGCGATCACAGTGCAGCGGCAGCGGCAGGCCACCCACCGTCAGGTTTGTGACGATCGTCTCAAAGAACCACGGCCGAAAGATGGCGGCCGACCGAAACTGGCCGGCCAGCAGCTCGGCACGCGTTTCACCTGTCGATCGAACGCCGAAATACAGAGATCCAGTATGGAACAGTATGGAAACAGTATGGAAACAGTATGGAAATTCACATAGAAACTGGCATGTCAAATATCAAAAAAGGCCATCATCACAGTCCAGCGCACACCATAAAGTTCATCATAGAGGGATTCAATTGCAGCATAAGAACTATCAACGGTGATGTAATTAGAGAACATCACCTTGAAACATATACCATCCTTCACCTCACCAGAGTACCTGCTCGAGAAGAGGGACAGTCAAACAGCGGCACCCACCGAACTCTATATAGCCGTGGTGTCGCCCGGTGCGCGGCTGAGGGCCGCACAGCACCACAGAGATGGTGTTGAGCCGACCCAGCAGCGCCTGCTGGGCCGCCTCCGGCCACGTGGTCACTGACGAGTTGGGCAGCGCCAGCTGACGGTACGCCAGGCCCACGATACCCTGCAGGTCACGAAAGAACGCAACACTTGTTAGGAGGGAGACCACGGCACATGGCTATTCCGGTTCGGCGCGGCTTACTTTCTATGCGCCCGACATCGGGAACGGAAAACGTCGAAGCGTAGCAGGGATGCAAAGCTTTATTGCGTGCTTATAAACAATACACCAACCTGCAATGATATGCAATCTATAGGGGAATTACGGCACAGCTTTGCCGTAACATTTACCGTAACACTTACACGAAAATTCTATGAATTTCCTCCAAACTGAAAGATTTTGACAGCACGGCTGGCGAAAGCAGTGATCGAGCTTCGTATGGCTGTAGCCGGCGGGCATTACGTCCTACCTGCCACTCGGAGCCGTTGATGTAGAAATTTGTGGAGCGCTGGATGAGGGCCACGTCACAGCGGACGGTGGGCGCATTCGTCTCTGGCAGCCGCACCACGTCGCTGACCAGCTCACCGCGCCAGGAGCCCTGTGAGTAGGGCACGTCCACGGACACGTGCAGTGGTCGCAGTGTGGTCGACCTGTCACAGGGCGGTCACAGTGTGCTGTCATGACTCTGCACTCTGCAGTGCTTCACAGATCGTGGATGGGTCATTACCAAACTTTGTTGGAAATTATCCAAAATGATAGGTACTCATTACCCAATGGATTACATACTTACATGGATTTATTGTAGAACATGGAGATCTGTGGGCTGGGTGCTGCTGCAATGGCAACATTACTGCTGCCTGTGTCAATCAGAACCTTCAGCTGGAATATAAAGACAGTGAAATGCTTCAGTCACCCTAGCCTCAAAGATCTTCTCTTTCATCATGTCATAGATGACATTAAAAAAGGTTATCTTGAATATTATCTTACTGGAATAACACCTGTTTAGATTATGGAGCATACATACAGCTGAATCAGTCTGTGAGAAATAACTCATAAGATGTAAGGAAAAGAGATTATATGAGTTCCAGTTAAACCATAGCTGAAAAGTGAATGCAAAACAAGTGATGGTTGCCATCTTTACCTTCTGAGGAGGAGTTCCGATAACAATCTCCGTGTAATAGCCATCTCCAGATTTGCCATGCAAATTAACAATACAGCTGTCTGCCAGCTTCAAGGGGCATTCATCTTCAAGACCCAGTGTCTCAGCCAGACACAGCAAAAATAAATATAGCAAAAACTTTGAGTTGGGGATGATCCAGAATGAGATTGTCATGCTTCTGACATCTCTTCTTTGCTGCTGAAATAAAGACTTGGTATCACACTTTCATTTAACCTAATTCTAGCAACTCTTTATAATATCAAATAGCTTAGCACCTTTTCAAGACTAACCATTACAAAAAGAAAGAAAAATTACCTACTGAACTAACAACCATTCTCCCCAAGCATGAGCAGTGAGCTGGAGCACAACTCAGTCCCACGCACAAGGGGGAAAAGCTCAAATTATTGAGCGCTCAAAAAATTGAGCGGGCCCCATTATGAAGGAATAGGCGAAACGATGGTATTTTACAATGCCTTTAGCGTCACACTACGGCAAATATCGTATCCAAATAAGGTATCAATGGCAAGAGAGAGCAACAAGGTTTCTTCTCGAACACTCGCCGTGATAATTTATATCGGTGTTTTCGGAAAGAAAATGCCCTAAAGACGCTCAACTTTTTGAGCGCCACTTGTCGTTCGGGACCGCGATACTCAATAAATTGAGCGCCACGACAGACGACAGTCAGCTGGCGCTCAAAAAATTGAGTGCCGGCCAGCATCTACACTCAATTTATTGAGCCTTCTCCGTGACAGGTGAAGCCGGTACTGGCTGCCATTTTTGATGTTATGTTCGTTGAAATACGTTAAACTGAGTTGAAACAGAAATGCAGGAAGTTGAATGCTACGTGGTACCCGTGGTACCTAAACTTTTCACAAACCCATGGCATCATGTCACATTTTCCGCTAGTAGTTTTATCGGTCGCCTTTCGGATTCGGCACACCTCAAATAATTATACAGGGCTTGAATAATCCGTATGAATACTGTATTGATATTTTCTGACTGTACTGGGAGAAGGGAATACGTGATTACAGAAAGATATCCACCCACGCTTGAATATTGGAGAATTATACAGGAAAAACTGTATTGCCACGGTTACAACTTACAAGGCCATCAGCCGCAAACAAACAAAAATACTATACAATGTGGGTTAGATTCACAAACATCATCAAGTGTGGAACACAGAGACGAGCAAAACAACATCACATTATCGCATGCCAGCCCGACCACATTGGAACCGGGTGACCTGCGACCGGAACCTGCGTCTTGCCAGCATACATCACAAAAGCAGGAGGCAGTGTCGTACTGCTTTGATCCAAAATATGCCATATAACAAATGATATAAACGACCTAAGCTCGGACTAGGCTTATCATTATCAAATCCTTAACATGTAAAAGACGAATGGAAACATCGAGTCTCAGACCAGCAGTAGCAACCATCACAGTAGCAACATCACAAAGAACACGCGGCATTATCAGACAGCCGTTTTGTTATCGGGCTACAGGCGGCGACGGCGTGGTTGCAGACCAGCTGCGAGGTAGCGGCGTGCGGGCAAAAGGCGCGGGCACACCTCCATGTGGCCGTGCGGACAGTGCGCGGTCGGCGTCGCATAGTGGGCGGCATCGGGCTGTCCCGGGACCGTCGAAGCCGCACAGGTTGTCGGCGCATGTGGGCGCGCGCGGTCACCACGGCCAGCTGCTCACCACCAGCACAGACTGCGCAGCGTCGCCGCTCCGCCGGCCAGAACACGCAGACAACCCTTCTTGCAGTCGCACAACACGTCGCCAAACTCATTCACCTGCTCCACCATGTTGTTGATGTCACCGAGTCGTTCAAGTTGTGGCTCGTGCCGTCGAGCATGACCTGCCCGATCGGACACGGGTCAGCGGCTTCTGCTCCAGCGAAGTCTTCATCTTGGTGACGTCTTGCTGATCTCCACAAAGGCTGAGCAGATGACCTTACCCACAGGGACGGCCGACGTCCTCGCCAGCGACCGCTTGGTTGTGCAGACCTGCCAGAAAAAGAAAAGCTGTTTGGTGATCTCAAACGATTTTTTTTCTTTATGCAGTGGAACAAAATGGAAAATATGTCATACAACAGGAACTAAAAAAAGATGCAGCCTAGGTCGTCTAAGAGATGGGTGCAACATTGATAAAATTCTTCCTTGAATGAATTCTACAAATGCTTTTGATAAAATGTGTGGTGATTATAAGGAGACCACTTTACTATAAAATTGCTCAGGATTCCCTATCTGGACCTGTCAAAAAATCCTGACTGCACACCAACAATGAGCATTAAATCCGAAACCTCTACCAGGTACCTAGGGATAATTAAATTCTGATTCAGGAAAATATTTCACATCATACAAATAAAAACCTTTACTATATTGAAACTGAAAATGTGATGCCGATCCAGTGACCTAAGGGTCTCAAAGTATAATAATGAATTAATCTATTATAAATTTGGTGGTGACTGCCAACTGGCGTCTGGCAGCCTAAACCTTGATGCTTGAAAGTGGCCTTCCTTTTCCGTTGACTCCGGTCCTCCAGATGGAAATGATATAAAGGATCATTTTTATCTTATTTCAAATGAGCCAGTCAGCAAAGTGGCTATCCTGTTTCAGCATTCACACACACAATAGTTGACTGTCAGTCTGTCATGCTGTCAGTGTTGTGAAGTAACGAAGGAGTTGAGTTTTGTTGATTATAAATTGTGATGTTATGTAAAGGACTGGAAAATGAATGTGAAAACTATGGAAACATATTGGCAGAGTATTGTCACTTACTATCAGGACATATGGATAGAGAATACATTCAAATTAATAAGAAATGCCAAATATCAAGGTACTCAATCACTGATAGCAGTGGACTATCATATGTTTTAATGTCAATTATATGAAAGTTAAGACTGAAACTAACTTTTACTTCATCATACCTAATGAAAAATTGTGTGAAGAAAACATTCACAGCCTCTTTGAAGCACTTAGACCACTAAAAAACAGAAATTTTCACGTAAATATGTTGTGTCTCTTTCCCTCAAAACATCATATCGGATGGCGCCACTTTCGTCGACAGTTACTTATCTGCACGCAAATCGAGGAAAACGTGAATTGATTGACGTTTACGTGTTTCCAAATTTAAAATCACAGCATATTCAAACTTTTCAGTGTACCTTTTAACATCTAAATATAACTAAAACGATAAAAACTTACCTTCAACACAAGGACGACAACCACGCGACCGGAGACGTCGCGACGAAATAAACAAACGGCGCCGCCAAATGAAAAATATTCTCCGATATGGGTGATGTGAAATTGAGTCGCAATCATTTTGGGTAGTATGAAAAATGCTCTTTCCAACAGAACCCTAGTAAAAAACGTGAATGGACAAAAAATAACTTTTATTTCGACATAAATATTGGCCTGTTTTTAAGGCATCCTGGTATGCCGTAAGATTTCGACCTAGAAATTGGTGTTCCCCCAATCATTGAAGCTTGAGCAGTGAAAAATATGAAAGCCTAATCTGTTTTGCATCATTAGTGATTCTCCTAGGGTGTTGCCATTTCTCCCTAGGTGTTGCGAGTTGCTTTTGCAAAACGTGTTCCTGAAACGGCTCAATTTTTTGAGCCCTCAGCATTACGCCTATGGGAGCCTCTGACGTCACACGCTCAATATTTTGAGCGCTCAATAATTTGAGCTTTTCCCCCTTGTGCGTGGGACTGAACTAATGATAACAATTAATAGGCTTCAAGCTTATTCGGAGAAGTGAAAATCATCACTCGAATGCTATACATAGCTGAAAAATTCTGAGAAGTAAAACCAACCATTTTCTATAATTATCTTGACTGGTAACAGCTAAAAATGCATAAAATTGATAAATAAACTCACCTACAGTTGCTGGTATTTTGAAACCACCGCACCACAAATGTATCAAAACAGCAATTTATATCAAGGATATCAAAAACGAAAACACTATTCCACTGTCAATTTTGCAGCCTTACTGTAGCTCAGCAGCCGACCAATCCTATTGGCACCATTCACATCTCTAAAGGCAGCTTGACCAGTTTTTTTTTTACTATGCTGACCTCAAAAGCTCTCGGTGGCCTTGAGAGGTCAACGTTTTCGGCAATCGCAGGTACCAGCTGTCAATCAGCAACTACCGGGCCGATACCTACAGATGAGAGCGCGAACACTAAAATTACCGACAATACGCAATGGCCGAAGTCAACAGTCATTTCAAATATATTGACCTCAAATGACCTCAGTGACCATGAGAGGTCAGTTCAGCGTCTTCGCCTATTGCACTCATCCTACCTATGCCTACCTAACTCATCAACTATCGGGCCAATCTAGACGGCCATTCGTTTCCTACCTTCTTTTTTCGAATATGATGACCTCAGATGACCTCCGTGAACTTGTGAGGCTATTAATGTTTCATTGTCCATTGCAGCTATCACATAACTCAGCAGACAGCAACTACCAACCAGGCCAATCGGAAAAAAGCCACCAGGCAGTATTCGATTTCATCCGTTGTATCGAAGCTGATGACCTCAAGTGAGCTCGATGACCTCAGAGGTCACCTGTGAGGGCACTTAAGGTCACATATATTTTTAGGGAGCCATGCCATGACTTCGTGATTCCCAGACCCGTCTATGGATTGCTCGCATCCGGGATGCGGGCGGGATTGGTGTCACTAAATTGCTGACTCTGGGTTACAGGGAGGGCGGGCCGAGCCGTTTGTTTATATCACACATGACTCCTCAGACACAACCTTCCAGGAAGTAACAGCCTAGTAACAGTGACAAACGGCAGGGGTCGCGGAGTAGGGGTCAGACCACTCCGTGCCAGCGTGATCACGTCACACCACTCGGGGACAAACTGGCTGGCTCAGCGACACTGGACCTTGGCACTGCCACTACACGCCCCTTTTTCAAGCCGGACGTTAAGTTGGAATTTTCATTTCTGCCATTGATTCGTCGTTCAAAAGTTAGGAATCTGTATCGGCCATAGTGCGTTATGCGAGTCGACCCTTTTGCACGCACCACGTTTATTTCAAGAGCGTAATACGAGCGCCTTGAGATACTGCAACGTTCCTTTGATAGCATCCGGCGGCCCCCCGCGGCCCTATACTCACACCTGTCTCTCCGGCAGGTGCAGCGAAGCCCCAGGATATTTACGCCGCATCTGACCGGCCTCCGGGTGGGACGAGTTTTTGTCTCTGGCGCCACGTGACTGGCCGGTCCGGCCCGGTCAGCACCGCTCCGTCGTCCAACCAGACGGGAGGGGATGGGAGCGGCTCGACCGACGCCAGTCGACGCTCTGACTTGGACGACGACGGCAGACGTCAAACGCCCAGCGGGGCACCGTGCCAGGTAGGCGACTCACCCTCCATAGAGACTCGTGCGATATATTTAACGTGTTGCTAGGCGCAGGCTAGGCTAGGTCTTTTTCGCTTTTACAGTTTTTCTCGCTATTATTATGCCTTCTGGTGCTCCATTGTACTCACATTTGAGTAACCGGAAGTACCGGCAATAGGACAATTGTTTATATCTAGTGGAATACAAGAGGTAGGAAAAATGTGTTTCTTAGGAGTTAGGACGATAAAGTGGGTATAATTTTGACGTCGTTTCCACGTTAATGCATCTCAAACGCATGCCCACACAAATGTCTCAACCATCGTGATCATTGTATCGAGAGTACATGAACCTCCAGGCTCCACGAATCAAACTATTAAAACAGTTACATTTAAGGCGTACCGGTTTCGTCTATTGACTTCTTCAGCGCCGTATGAAACAATAGACGAAAACAAACAGCGCCGATTGTTTCATACGGCGCTGAAGAAGTCAATAGACGAAACCGGTACGCCTTAAATGTAACTGTTTTAATAGTTTGATTCGTGGAGCCTGGAGGTTCATGTACTCTCGATACAATACTTGTCCAGTTATAACTACATCGTGATCATGTTAACTCGTAAGGACACGGACATAAACTAAAATATTATTTCAATAATACGGCTATGTGCGGTGACAGTTTTATAAAATATAAACTGTTCAAAAAATTTGATGTTTCTTCTTGAAATCTGGTCATTCAACCCTCAACCCTGAACAAATGATTCGACAAAGATAGAGGACAAGCACCTTGATATGAATGAGACGACGAATACGCCATCGTTAGGATTATAATTGACAATATAAAAGTTTATCAAGCAAAGCGAGAGTTATAGCTTGCATGATGATAAGTTCAGCGATCACCCGACGCTGATGAACTTCTTAAACATAATTCATCCATAACTATGTGTGTGGTTGCCATAATGTGCCAGTAAATAAATAAAAATAAATTATTTTTCGTAAGTGAAACGCTACTCGCTTTGCCTTCAAGCGTTAAATATTATATATTAAACCGCGAGTTATAGGTAGAACAAATTTTTTAAACGTCGAGCCGATAGGCGAGACGTTTAAAAGATTATTCTACCTACGAGCGGTTTAATAATTTTATCCCGTACCGCCGATATCATTCGGGAGCTGAAAGGTAAAAATAAATACATTTTATATAAAAATACGACATATTTCAGCAGAGCCAGGACAACGAGAAGCAGAGACAGATGATGTTTTGAAAAACGGTCCAAACAATGTGATCGTTCTGAAATTGACAGGTACATTGAAGATGAAGTCCAAAATAGAACTAAAAAAGAAAAGGAAATTGATGTTTCATTGCGTTTCCCTGCGCATACTGGTGAAAATAACGAGACGGTAAAATGGCAGCAATGTCTACTAGACGTTTAACAGTTTGTTAATCGTCACTAGACATTTAACAAATCAGTTAAACGACATCTGATAATTTTCTCTCTTTGCACGTGAAGCAATTGTAAACACTGCTACGGTGCGGGATAATTTACGTTTAAACGTTTCAAACGTAGAGCTTTAAATAAGCACTTCATTTATTCATCCATATGATATGGATGCTGACTAAATAAATCAGATCGAAGATATCCATGAAAATAGTGTTATTTCTCTTCTCATTTATTTGAGCATTCGACTTTCATTTTTGACATTTGTTGTACTCTATGCTTTTATCAAAATACGTCTAAATTCAACAGTGTTGACGACCACGTCGGCTTCATTAGTCCATTGGTCGTAGAATATAAAATAAAATCTATAGCATCGGAAGAATATTGGGTACGTTGGTGACACGTATTCGGACCTTTGCTACTTGAAGATATACCACATGGCGACCACTCTCGCTGTCGGAAAGAAAACCATCGATCTGAGGAATAACCTAAGAACAATGTTGAAAAAACATTTGATACTCAAACGTCTACCTGCTGGCCGTTTCATTTTTGGGCATTAAACACGAACGCTTGATTTATAATAGTATCGCTTATATATTTTTTTTCTGAATAAATGCCATTTACATACCCATTCTATCCACCGACTTAATTTTAAGTTTGTTTTCAGCAAACGGCGACTGAAACCCTTTTATAGACACTCGACTTCGTCCCTTTCCTTACATGTAAAAAAGATGACCCCGAAATCACTCATAACTGATAGTTTGTCTCTAAGTGCTTAAATGAACGAATGTTTATAAATAAAAAATCCAAAGCAAATCAATATTGCTATTTGATTATTCAGAAAGTAAGTGATGTTTTTTAAACACGTAACTTCTGAGCTGGTTCGCACTGCCCAGCAATAGTTTTATAATCATAACATGTACAAAAAGTAGGTACTCAAAGCATTTACTGTAGAGCGAACAGAAGAAGACCCGTGACCGATAACCGTCCCATCATTATTTACTATTTTCATTTTTATTCTTAATTATCACATAGGCGGTCCCAGGGGGGGGGCCACGGGGGCCATGGCCCCCCCTTTGGTGCTGAAAGGTGGGGCCATACTATCTTTTGGCCCCACCTTTCAGATCGAACAAAAGTCCTAGAAAAGCTTTTCGTATGTTTCATTTTCTTTCTTGCGCCATCAAAGGACGTGAATTTCACTCATGAGTGGGCTCAGTTTCGCGTTCTGTCAATTTGGCGGTCAGCGTCGCTGGCACCGGTTCACGAGTATGGCCGAATCTTATGGAATATCAGCGTGGGTTTACTTGAGGGTCTCGTAGGCCCAGCAATGGCTGGCAATAGACCCTCTTTGGCAGTGGCGGGTGGGCCCTGCTAAAGGAGATTGGCTCTAAGACATTAAAGTAAGACCTCATGGGTTGGTGCTGTGCACCTCAGAAGCCCGGTGGCGTGGGACCTCCGGGGCCTGCATAGAGTTTGCGTGAGCTAGTATGTAATCTCAGAGGCATGTGTGTAATGTGTACACAGTGGCGGTCGCGGGGGGGGGGGGCATCAGGGCCATGCCCCCCAAAGGTCAATAAAGGGGGCCATCATATCATTTGCCCCCCCCCCCTCAAACAACCAATGGGCCCCCATATAGGTGTATGGGGCCCTGGCAATTATTCGATCGTCACGAGGCTCAAAAAGCCCACGCCCAGCTATTAATATAGCTCCCACACCGGTCTTTGAGCGTCTTACACTGACCTCTGAGGGAACTTCAGTGGCGGTCAAGCGCCCACGTTGACCGCTAAGAGCCTACATCAACCTCTGAGGCCCCACATCTGGCCTATGAGGGCCCCTAACCGGCCTCAGGGGCCCCAACCGGCGTCTGAGGGTCTCACACCGGTCTCTGGTGGCCTTATTTCTGTCTCTGGTGTCCCAAGACGAACCTTTAGGTGCCAATGAGGGCCCCGCACTGGCTGCCGGCCTCTAAGGGCCTGCATTGGCCTCTTGGCCTTTGAGGGCCCTCTGCTGGCCTCTGGGGTCCAACGACGGCTCATGCCGGTCTTTTAGGGCCCCACGCTGACCTCTGAGGGCCCATGTTGGCCTGTAATGAGTAAGGACCCACATTAGCCTCTGAGAGCCCAACTCGGTCTCTGATGGTCTCAAACTACTGGCCTTTGTAGTTTCCAGGCCCTGTATTGGTCTCTGAGGGCCCTAAACTGGCCTCTACGTGAAAACATACATGGGTGGGTTTCTGAAGATCAGAGGGCTCACGCAGTCT